CGGCCTCACCTAAGGTCCTACTAACATAATAAATCAGAAATTGCGTACCTCATTCTTCCCGAACTAAGACTCCACTTACCGCTATCTCCGAGACTACCAAGTACAAGTACAGTTATTCGTCTGTCTTTGGTGTGTGAAGCAGCAACGGGCTCGATAAGTATCTATTGAGCTCCTCCAAAGCTCGTTGGCATTTTGGAGTCCATGAGAAGTTATTCTTCTTTTTCAATAGTGCGAAGAATCGGTGGCTCTGGTCGGACGACCTCGAAATAAATCGCCCCAAGGCGGCTATGCGCCCGGTTAGTTTTTGCATGACCTTTACGTTGTCCACGACCGTGATATCTTCGATGGCTCTGATCTTGTCGGGGTTGATCTCGATTCCTCGGTTGGATACCATGAACCCGAGGAACTTACCTGATCCGACTCCGAATGCATATTTTTTTGAATTCAGCTTCATATTGTACTTCTTCAATATGCTGAAGTTTTCCTGCAAATGCTTTAAATCGTTCTCTACTCAGAGGGACTTAACCAACATATTGTCAATGTAAACCTCCATCGATTTTCCTATTTTTTTTATCAAACATCCGATTTATTAGGCGTTGATAAGTGGCACCGGCATTTTACAATCCGAATGGCATCACGTTATAGCAGTACGTGCCGTACTTAGTGACGAATGAGGTTTTTTCATAGGATCATCCGGGTCCATCGGTATCTAGTTGTACCCGGAATAGGAATCGAGAAAACTGAGGGTCTCGTGGCCGGCCGTGTCATCGATCATGCGATCGATGTTGGGTAGAGGGAAAGAGTCCTTGGGACATGAGTTGTTTAGATCCTTATAATCTACACACATTCTACATTTGTCCCCTTTTTAGGGACTACCATTACGTTTGCTAACCAATCCGGGTATTTAACCTCCCGAATGGACCCTATTTTAAGGAGCTTAGATACCTTATCCTTGATGAAAGCATGTTTGACCTCAGACTGGGGCCTTCTCTTCTGCTTGACCGGATTAATATTTGGGTTCAGGCTTTGCTTGTGAGTGGTTATCTCTGGTGGGATCCGTGTCATATCGAGATGGGACCAAGCGAAACAATCTATCTCTGGTGGGATCCGTGTCATATCTCGGGAGTTAAACTCGTGCTCAGGTATACCTTCCGATCGGGTAGATGTTCGATCAACATAAACTTTTCCAGCTCTTCGACCGATGATTTGGTTGCGTCGGAGTCGTCGAGGATTATAAAAGATCGGGGAACCCCGTCATTATCGTCTTCATAAGTCCCCTGCTTTTCTGGTTGGATCGTGGCCGGTATCGATGACTGTTATTTGGCCTCTTGGTTCTTACCTGAACTTGGTTCCTTCGACGTTGCGAGTGTTGATATTGGAATCACTTCTTTGATTACAAACATCTCTTTTGCAGCCGGTTGTTCCCCGTAGATCATTTTAATTCCTCCCGGAGTTGGGAATTTTAACACTTGATGAATATTTTAGGGCACTGCCCTCATGTTGTGGATCCATGGCCTTCCGAGAAGGGCGTTGTACCTCATGTCTCCTTCGATCACATGAAATTTAGCCTCTCGTATGGTTCCGGTGTTATTGACCGGTAACGTTATTTTCCCCTTGGTGGTTTCATATGCCATGTTGAACCCGTTTAGAACTCGGACTACAGGCACGATTTCTTCTTGTAGACCGAGTTGCTCCACGACCCTCGACCGAATAATGTTGGCCGAGCTACCTGGATCAATCGACACACGTTTAATTCGAGTTTTATTTACGAGTATAGATATTACCAATGCATCATTGTGAGGTTGTACAATCCCTTCCGTATCATCATCGCTGAAAGATAAAATTCATTCTGGTATGTAGTCTCGAGTTCATTTCTCCCTAATGATGGATACTTTGGTGCATTTCAACATCGGCCCCTGTGGGATATCGACTCCACCGATGATCATATTTATGATGTGTTGAGGTTCGGTATCTTCTTGTTCTATCTGTTTGTTAGAATCCATATTCCTAAAGTGGTTCATGGCTCGATCGCTCAAGAATTCTCGAAGGTGCCCATTGTTGAATAGACGGGCTACTTCATCTCTCAACTGTCGACAATCTTCCATTCTATGACCGTGAGTGCCATGATATTTGCATATCTGGTTAGGATACCTTTGTATTGGATCGAATTGTAGAAGTCGAGGCCATTTGGTATCCTTGATGTGCCCGATAGCTGATACGATGGCGGCAACATCGACATTAAAGTTGTATTCCGATAGCCTCGGTGCTTCTTGAGGCCCGATGGACCTGTCGAAGCTGTTTTTGATCATGAGCCCTCGGTTGCTTCGACCTTGGTCATTTATCCTTTCATTTCTTATGGGGTTCCGCCCGGACCCACTGCTCATCCGATCTCTATTATATGGCAGATATCGATCCATGTTTGGTCTTAGTTCATGATCGATGTCTCTCTGGACACTGTCGAGGGTTGTGACGGGATAAACAGACTCCGAAAGGGCCCCAAGTTAGTCATCTTCGACTTTGATTTTTGATTGATACCGGTTATGTACATCGGCCCAAGTAACGACAGGGTATTCTATCAAATTCTGCTTCAGTTGCTATGAAGCCACCGAGCTTCGAATATTGAGTCCCTGAGTGAAAGCTTGAATAGCCTAATCATCAGCGACTGGCGGCAGATCCATTCGTTCCAATTGAAAACGGTACACAAATTCCCTAAGCATCTCGTTATCCTTCTGTTTAACTTTGAAAAGGTCTAATTTTCTGGTTTTGACCTTGATGGCACCAGCATGTGCTTTTACGAAGGAGTCTGCAAGCATAGAAAATGATTCAATAGAATTAGGAGGTAAGTTGTGATACCATATCATAGCTCCCTTTGACAGGATCTCCCCAATTGTTTTCAGTAGAACAGACTCAATCTCGTCGTCTTCCAAGTTGTTCGCTTTGATGGCACATGTGTAAGAGGTTACATGCTCATTTAGATCGGTCGTTCCGTTATACTTAGCTATTTCGGGCATACAGAATTTCTTGGGGATTGGCTTCGGAGCCGCGCTCGGAGGAAAAGATTTTTGCACGAACTTCCTGGAATCTAGTCCTTTCAGTATCGGAGGTGCTCCTGGGATTTGATCTACCCTGTAATTGTAGGTTTCTACCTTTTTGTTGTTCGCTTTGATTTTCATTTCCAGTGATTCTATCCACTTTGTCAGCTCCTCAAGCATCTTTATAATCCCGGGGTTAGTACCCGATTCTTGTCCATTGGACCTTACTCCGACTGGTTCATTTCTGCGGGTGAATTCACGGGGTGAATCGGGTTCAACCCTGCTCGGTGCCTGGCTTTGGCTCTGCAACTGAGCTATCACCACCTGTTGAGCTTGCATCATTTCTAAGATCATTTGTAGGTTGATCCCGTCTTCTTCAATATTTTGTGTGTTTCGAGCTGTCGATCGGGCTCCACCACGAATGCTATTTTCGGGGTCGGTAGGCAAGTTTGTGTCGATAGCCACATGTGAATTAACATCAATCAGATCTGCAATCCGAATTCCAACGGAATCAGCGGGTGGCCCTACGTTACCGGATGTCGCGGTGTTATTCTCACCTTGATGACCGGACTCGTTGTCGATATGCAAGGGTGTTAATTGAGAGTTTGTCATTTTTAGCCTGAAATCAAAGACACTTTAAAAGGCAAGTATAAAGTAGTGTGTGTGTGTATGTTATGGAGGTTTGTATCAAATAACTACTATTATCCTTAGCCCCACGGTGGGTGCCAAACTGTTTACCCTCAAAATCGGATAACAATTAAATTTATTAGTGGTTTAAAGGATACGCGAATTAACTTGATACAAAGAGATAAATTAGATGGCAATTGAAATAAATAATAATAAATTAACTGTAAATCACATGAATTGGATGATTTCAACTTAGGAAAGCAGGCCACCCTTGAATTGAATACTCTTTTGTTGACATAAAAATACCAAAAAGTAAGAACTTAGAGAATGTATTGCTTATAAGTGTATGTTACAATTTCCCTTATGAATTGTAAGCCCTTTTTATATATTAGGGGAGATCTACCTTTTAAGGTATTATTTTATTGTTTTAAAAAAGGCAAAAGTCCTTGATTTGTTGTCCGTTGGTTCTCTTTTTGAGTCGTTCCGTGATTTCTGCCATAATGATTGGTTAATGACGAGAATTATGGACCCTTGTCGGATGAGTTGGCAAAACTTTCTTCGAAACCACTAGAAACAGGATTGGTTACGCCTTCAGTTAACTCGAGGGCAAATCTTATGGTTTTGATGGCTAATTTTGATAATGCTTTGGGTTCGATCTCAATCACCATGTTTTGATTTTATCTGATTGTGTCGAACGTTAGATCGATTTTCGAGCTCGACCTTACCCGATCACAGATATTTCGACCCCGACCTAATTAGGGAGTCTTGGAAGCTCGATCGAATATCGAGCTCGATTTTACTGGCATATAATATAAAAATAATAGCCACCGCCAACAGTAAGTTTAACAATAAACCGAATCCAAGATGTCAAAAAGGTCGTGTTTTGTTTGAGGGAGAAGATTTAGAATTAAGAATATTGGTGATAGAGAGAGAAGGAATAGAGAGAAAGAACATAATTGTCGTATTTTCATGTCTCAATGGTAAGGTATAAAATAAATACCTGTTTTGCTATAAAATAGAAAAGGTAGCTATAAATAATAATATTTTGAAATTATTTTGATTTATAATAAATAGAGTGTAATAGTTTGTTGTAGGAGGTAAAATTTTCTATTTTGTATATATATTTTTTACTTCAATAATCACAAAATTTAAAGTACTAATTTTTATAACATTTGCAAATGATTTAGTTCAACAAAATAAATGAGTAATAGATTAGAGCTAACATGGTTAATCTACTAATCTATTACTGATTAATTAACAAAATCTTCCATAAGCAAATAATTAAAATATTAAAGCAAAATGCAAAGTTTTTTCATACCATAATTAGTAATTCCGTGGAGCTAATTTTCTTCCAAAAAAGAAAAGCTCATTACCTTACAAAACACAAAAAAGGCAGAAAGCGAAATTCTACCATTCAAACATAAAATCACAACAAAATTAATATGTACACATAATTATGATCCTCCTTAACCCAAAACAACATGAAAAAACACATTTTTTTTGTTTCATTTTCTTTTCACTAGATCAATTTACTACTACTACATAATTACTAAAACGATGGAACGACGCCGTATGAAGCGTCGGAGGAGGCAATGAGGGAGTCAACTTCGTTCTCCGTACGTTTGGCAAATCTGCCTTTGATTCTAGGTCGAGTTTCAGCATAGGCCTTTCTAGATGCGTATCGTATCGTCTTTTCGAACTTTCTGTTCTTCCTTTTCTCTCTGTACCTTAACACTCTTGCTTCTCTGTCTAAGTTTGAAAGTGGATTTGGTAGGCCATCAGTGGAGGAGTTTCTCACAAATGTGTTTGATACATCTGCCATTGTGTTATGGTCAGGCACAACTCCTACTTCCATAGATGATGAAGAGACCTGTTGAGATAGCCATGACATTTATGTGAGAAATAAGACGTTAGTTTAACTTTATGACAACAATTTTAATGAAAGGACCACGAATAAAATTTAACTATATACATTTTCTTAACTTTCTGTGAATTTTGCTTCTCTTATGATTATTGCTACTTCGGTTAGTTTAGTGATTGGTACCATCTAAGAGTACTATTAGCCCAATCAGTGACAAACAGAAAAGAGGAGTTAGACTGAGAAACAAGCAGGGGCGGAGGTAACATATAAACTACGGCAAAACCTAATAATTTTTGGCTTAAACCATATATATTTGTTAATAAATAAATTTACTAAATATATATAAATATTTAAATCCGAACCAATAACTTAAATAGTCAGTGAATATAGCGGTATTTCAAATACGTGCAATAAGGAATCTCAAAAAGGCTTGCCAGAATCGCGACTAACTAATTCGAGTGGAGTGCATTATATAATATAATAGTAGTTTGGTCGTTAAGATTTCACCTCTTCTTTTTCCTTTAATAAAGCCAAACATATTGATCGCACTTACTAAATAGGGTAACATAATTAAAGTCCCGCTACTAGCTTTTAGTCTTAATTAAGTACTTAGCTGTAGGAATGAATATTATACTAAACCAATTCGTCACTCCATTAATACTATCCGTCATTTCATTAGGACTCTAAAGTAATATGTTGTGTTTTACTTTCCTTTGAGTAATATTATATTATGTTTTAAAACAATTTTTCCAATTAATATTTGTCATAAATAGTTATGTTATGGTATTTTAAGTAATTTAATTGTGTAAAATATTAGAGTACAGTACTATATAGAATTAAGGTGAAAAGGAGAAGAGAGACATACACTTTGGCTAATGGATTGAGAACTGAAGTTGTACATGAAAGGTTTAGATCCAGAGAAGTCCATTTCATATGTCGGGTATCCATTAACAACTGGACCTTGCAAATGGATCTCATTTTTGTTCTGTACATGAGGCACAACACAATCATCCTTATACTCCTGAACATGAAGTTGAATATCAGTACACGGTTTCTGATCCGTTATCATATCCATTTCCACATACGGATCCACATCGCTAAACAAATATTCCGCTGATTTATACTCAATTCCTTGCGCATTATTATTCGGCGCTTGTAGTAGCCACGACTCCGCCTCCGCCTCTTCCTCCGTCTCGGGAGGCGGAGGATTAATTTCGTCCGCACCACGAGACTTGGTGGAGGCGGAATCATAGAATGGCACTATGGGGAAACGGTCGTGGCGCCGAGCTAGAGGGTTCGCCGAGTGAATGTCCTGGTCGCAAGTGACGCAGAGTGCGGCGGCGTCCGCCTTGCACGTGACGCTCGCCGGCGCGTGCTCGCACACCTCGCATACCCACACGCGCGCGTGCCTCGACGCGAGCTTATTCGCCGCGTGAATTTTGGAGTCGCAGGATAAGCACAGGAACGCCATGTCTGCCTTGCAGAACACCGTCGCCGCCGTCGCTTTGCACGAGTCGCACCGCTTCGCCGTCGCACTCCAGCTCTCCGCCACCATTGTTGTTGGTTAGTTGCTTGATACTTTTTCTCTCTCTAAAAAACTTTCTCTCACTGAAATTGCAATAATGGAAACTCGTTTTAGCTTTGTGACTGTTTAGTTGCTTTATTCAGACGAAGTTATCTAAAAAGGGATAGAGGAAATCTGAGATGTGACGAATGAGCGGATGACAAGTGGACTGGTCTTAGCCAAATAAGTTGGAATTAATTAATGTTAGAAAAAGATGAAGTTGTCGTTTATGATAAGATAGGTTGTCATTTTGAGAAAGGTGGACCACTACGTAGAAAAGAGCCGTGTGCGATTTCAACTTTTAAGCAAAGGTGTTGGTGGGGTAGCTAAGGACATGTTTGGCATTTTATAATGTTTGGGGTGGGTAGTTGTTTAACTCNGCGTGCTCGCACACCTCGCATACCCACACGCGCGCGTGCCTCGACGCGAGCTTGTTCGCCGCGTGGATTTTGGAGTCGCAGGATAAGCACAGGAACGCCATGTCCGCCTTGCAGAACACCGTCGCCGCCGTCGATTTGCACGAGTCGCACCGCTTCGCCGTCGCGCTCCAGCTCTCCGCCACCATTGTTGTTGGTTAGTTCTCAAAAAACTTTCTCTCTAAAAACTTTCTCTCACTAAAATTGCAATAATGGAGACTCGTTTTAGCTTTGTGACTGTTAGACAAAGTTATCTAAATAGAGACAGAGGAAATCTGAGATGTGACGAATGAGCGGATGACAACTGGACTGGTCTTAGCCAAATAAGTTGGAATTAATTAATGTTAGAAAAACACGAATTGTAGTTTATGAGAAGATAGGTTGTTGTTTTGGGAAAGGTGGGGTCTACGTAGAAAAGAGCCGTGTGCGATTTCAACTTTTAAGCAAAGGTGTTGGGGGTATCTAAGGACATGTTTGGCATTGTGTAATGTTAGGGGTGAGTGATTGTTAACATTACATCATACTACTAATTTATTACAATTAAATGACTTAATTAAAATGAAAATATTGTTATAAAACAATAAAAGAAAAAGAAGAGTATTACAGAAAAAAGTAGAGTGGGAGAATTTTTATTGATTTGGGATAAATTACAAGGGAATAGAACCTTTCTATTTATAGGAAAAAAGTGACTTTGCCACAAAGTAACAAACCCTAAAATCTCTCAAAAATATAGACATTCACCTTAAATATAATTCTATTTATAATACTCCCCCTTTAATATCTATTCAACAGATAATGTGTCTCGTTAAAACCTTAACTAAAATAAAATTCAGTGGGAAAAAATTCTAATAAAGAAAAAAGAGTACACATATCTAACAATACGCATTTTAGTTGCCTCGTCAAAGACCTTGCAAGAAAAATCTAGTGGGACAAAACCTTATAAAGAAAAAGAGTGCAACGTGTATTAACTCCCCCTGATAAGAGAATCAATTCACATCGTTGAGCCTTCTTCGCATTCCAATCTTGTGCACCATCTTCAAAAGATCGTTGGTAGAGATTTGATAAACAAATCAACCATATTAACTTGAATGAATATGTTGCGCCTTGAAATTATCATTCTTGATAGATATGTAATGTCTTCATATAGTATCGTGGAATGACCTTTTCAATATCTCCATAGAGATAATAATTCTCGCTATCACATTATCATACTTATAGTTATAACCAGATACATATGTGCACAAATTGCACTTAGTATGTAGTATTTTAGGACCAAAAATTGTATATACTTTAAGCGATTTAAATCCTTTAGAGATTGTTATATAAGTTAAGTCATATAAGCTATATAAATAAACTTTAGATGCATATCAAGTTTTCATGTCATGCTAGACAGAATTGCACACACCATTGACTTTATACTTTCAAGTGCTTGAACTGCAGGTCCAAAACTATGTCTTTCATTTGAAACTAATTTTACTTGAATCGTTTCTCCAGACTTAAGATCTTCATATATATTTAGTGTTATAATAAATTTAGTCGACGAACATTTTATATCGGTTCCAACCTCTTTTTTCTCATAAAGACATAACATAGAGATCTTTTCATTCATATTTTCAGGTACCTGAACCTCTTCTGGGATTTTATGAAGTGTTATGTCATTTGATCTTCTAGATAACTTGTCTCCTTATTATGATCATTTGTTCATCTTCTTTATCAAGAATTTTATTTGAAACCGATTTGTCTATACGCTTTAAGCGTACCATAGACTTTGTCCTTCCAGGACTTATTCTAATAGGAGCATTTGCAGTAAGAATATAGTTATTTTCTTTGGGTCAGTAAATGCGCCTGGCATATTTTACAATATATTGCATATGAATTATCTTTTTATAAACTTCAAGTTCATATTATCTTACTCGAGGATCTAGATGTAAAAATGATAATTCATTCCACGTAACTTTTCTCAATTGTTTATCTTATTTCCCCTTCATGTTAGAAAAACTAACTTGCTTTGGAAACCCACCTTTGTGCGTTATGGTATTAATTAAAATATACACCGCACATCAATAATAATAATAATAATAATAATAATAAGATAGAATTATTTGGTTCATAACCCTGAACCATTTGTGATGGGAGAATGTAATATACTTTCGTATATAATGTATATCAAACTGATATAGTTAACTTTGTTCTTAGAAGCAATAGTTTAGCTATTCAGTGGAGTCACTCAATAAATTATTTTGCTAAACCAACTGTGATGTAAACCAACTTATCAAGATGAACTTTCTTGAATAGAAAATCTGAAAATTATGGTCTAAATTAAATTATTGAGCAAGTTACCTCGCAAACACCATGTTGCCAGTTAATAGTAATCGCACATGTAATCATCTCATAAATGCATCTTATGTGATACACATGGTAGGTGAATGAGCATATATTCTCCTTTGATATTTTCAGCATGCATGGGATTCAATTTTAATTTTAGTTGGTCTATTAATTAATAAGAACAAGCAACAAAAGAAAATTCATGAAAAATCTTCTTCAACACTTACCCATGTGAATTCTCATTTATTTTTGCACATCATACTTAAATCAAAATTGCTCAATAGACCATGCTTGATAAAATTTAATGTATCAGTAAACTTCAGGTTTACATCATGACATGTGCAATTGTTAATTTAACTCCAAGTTTACTATGACATGAGTTTTTATATCAATAAATATCTAGTTTACTGTGTCATGTAATTTTACCATATTTTTTATTTGTGTAGTATAAATCAGGCAATAAAGCGGGTAGTTTTCATATACATATTACCTCGCTACAGTTATAGTAATATAAAGATATTGAATATTTCCTTTATTTATAATCTCAATATAACCAACCGCTTTCGCGAATACTTTAGAAACTCAATAAGTTTCTTTGAGACTTACTACGACTTAATACCTTATTGATAATCAATTTTATTTCTCCAAAATAGTATAATTGGCTCTTCTAAAGCTTTCGATTAATTTTGTACTGCCACATATTCATCAACATCCATATGTTGAATATCTCTTTCAAGGAGAAAGTTATACCATTATGGCCATGGTCAAAATATAGGCAAGATATATTGCTTCTATTACTTTTGCCCTGTAATAATCATGTTGCCATAATATTTTGGCATAATCACAATAGGTATATGACCAGTGACCATTCATGCCATAATAATGAAATTATTTTCTTATTTCATCTCAAACTTCTTTCTAGAGGTTAGTGTGGTATATTCACTACCACTAGCACATTCATATTCTTTCAAGAATGAATATTTGTTCATAAATCACATGTTGTCACATTCACATCATGAATGAACCATAATCATCTATATATATTTTATAAAATCTTATGTCAAATCGATGACAAATATTACTTTCACAGAGTGAAGGATTATTTCGAGAATCCTTATTGTTCTCACAATCATACATGAATTTGATCATGACAAGACATAAAATTTTTACCACTTCGGGTGATTATTATTTCTTACAAACTCTATTAGAGTTATAATCAAAATTTATTGTCTTTACTTGTATTCAAAATCAAATTATAGAATTTCAAGAACTTAAAAGATAAAAATAAGATAAAATATTTACCTTAAATCCAGAATTTATTCGTGAAGGAAGTTCATGGAACAATTGATAATCATTATGCTCAATATTATGTATAAGTTGAGCACTATAACATTAAAAGAAGAAAAAGAGTATTACAGAGAAAAGTAGAGAAAGAGAATGCTTATTGATTTTGGATGAATTACAAGGTACCCCATTATTTATAGGGGAAAAGTGACTTAGCCACAAAGTAACAAACCCTAAAATCTCTCTAAAATATAGACATTCACTTTAAATACAATTCTATTTATAATAAATATATATTTATTAAGTATGCTATAGAGAGGTTGTGAGTTTGAGTCACCCCAAGAGCAAGGTGGGGAGTTCTTGGAGGGAGGGAGCCGAGGGTCTATCGAAAACAGTTTCTCTACCCAAGGTAGGGGTAAAGTCTGCGTACACACTACCCTCTCTAGACACCATTAGTGGGATTATACTGGGTTGTTGTTGTTGTCATAAAAAAAATGTATACGAACACGTGTCATGTACGATTGTTATAAATATAAAAAACGTATAAATTTTTATCCAAAATCAATTAAAGCAAGATTATGTCAATTAACTATAACTCAGCGATAAAAATATTATATGAGAATGTGCCATGTAATTATTAGATCGATATAAACACCGACAAATTCTTACCCAAAATTAATGATTTCAATTCGCTAGACGTACAAATCAAATCAAACTCATTTGATCTTTTCCAAAAAATTTTCTAAATCACAATGATTATTACATGTACGTCAACGTGAAGTTTTCTACTATTTACTGAAATTAAACTTTTTTGTACTACCTTTTACATAGTTGAGCTAATCAATTTAATGTCTCCTTATATATGGTCCTACATTAGTCTTGGGCATGATATTACACAAGCCATTTTTCTTTTGAAACTAAAATTACGGAAAAGAATCAAAAGAAAAAGACTTTTATTTCTCCCACCTTATTTATAAGTGAATTGTTAATATTAATATCTCACTGAAATTTGTTCAACTCAATTCATTTTATGGATGTGTAAGAACATAGATAATT